GGGATTAGATTGTACGTGAAGAATGGGAAGGAAAGAGTATAGGAAGAATTTCCTAGGCTGTGAGCCAGAAGAGCAAATGCAAAGGCCCTAGGGCAGGAATGACCTTGGCCTGGAAGAAACTGAAAAGCAGACTGCTAATGCAGCCTTGTGACCGCGGGTGGATGATAGGGGATGGGGGCTGACCAAGAGGGTTTTCCAGCTTAGATGAGGGTGTCTCATCTTTCTTCCTTCCGTCAAGAGGAAAATACAAACGTTTTTATTTTGGACAACGCCTCAGATCAGGAAACACACTGTACTTTCATTCTCAGTACCCTCTGCAGGACGAAGCCCTCAGTAACCACTAGGGGTGCTGTTCCGTGACAATGCCTCACATTTTTATGGGATTAGATTGTGCTTTGGGGAAACTTTTCCCCTCTCACAACATCCAGTATATTAGTGTAGTCTAGTCACTACATGCCTTGACTGTGGAGCCAGTTACACCTGGGCACAAAGACGGGTATCTAATTTTTCTAGATCCCAGGGCCCTCCTTCCAAAAAGGGAACGCCTCTATCTCGCTGCATTTATTGTGTGAGAGCTAAAGCAAGATAAAATATCTAGATTGCAAGGCATAGAGCCCAGCAGGTAGTAAATGCACACTACACGTACAGAGCATTGTAACTGTTTCCCCTCTCCTTGGCCGCCAATTCTGCAAAGAGATGAACAGAAACAAGGAGATAAAGTGACTTGCCTAAGATCTCACATTAAAGACAAGCTACAGCCAAAACTTTGGATGCTTCATCTAACTGCTTTTACTCCTTCACTGCGGTGAATCACTGCAAAGTGAAAATTGGTAAACCTGTTTCTGCCCTCTGGGAGAAAGTATCATGTACAATGAGAGAAAGGTCAATTTCTGGGAGTGTGGGAGTAGTTAAAGCATTGATCTAAAAACTCTTTCACAAGAATTTCTTAAAGGCATAGTTGTTTCCCTTTAATCATTTCCCTTTGCAGTTTCCGCTGAGGGGGAACAAAACAAAACAAAACACCAAAACAAACAAACAAACAAACAAAAACCCTGCTCTATGCTTTCTTAAATGGAAAAAAATATGGAAGTGTGATGAAATTCTGTGGATACTCTTATCTTCATCCATAGCCCTAAAATGAACCCCAGTGGAAGACCAATAGTGTTATTACATCCAGTGCTTAGTACTGAGTTCGAAAATGCTAACGTCACTAATCCCAATAAAATATATGGAAGTTAATTATAACTGAAGCACACAGATGTCAGCCAGGAAGTTGCAATCAACAAGAGACCCTGAATGAAGGCTGTTCTCTGTGAAGGGGACAAGCAGCCCCCCGCGCTTTGACTCCGGGCTGCATCTCCCGCCCCCTCCCCCCGCCCCACCTGCGGAACTCCCCAATGGCAACTCCACTCTGTGAACAAATGTGCAGTACCCTGAGAAGAAAAGGAAGCATGATCGCTGGCTCGTGCCCAGAGGACATTGTGAAAGCCCAGAGCCTGCAGATAGCCTGGTGCCATCTCTGTAACCCTAAGCTTGAGGTCTTTTGCTGCCGTTTTCTTCTTCCAAGAAGAGTATCCTTCAGGCAATCAGCAGGGTACCAGCTTCCCCCGAAATGTAATCAGCTGCAGGGCCACCCGAAGTTCAGACAGGTACCAATGCTATTAAAGTCTTATTAGGAAGCCTAGTCACATTCAAGAGCTGTGGTTCGTGTGAAGAGGCAACTAGATTTTCTGTGCTAGAGAGGAAGGATCAATCAGCCCCAAATGAAAGGAAAGTAGGGGCCAGGAGAAGGTAAGTGGAACTGGAAATAGGTATTTGGGGTTTTGCTGCTCATTCCCTTTGGTCATCTGGAGAGAGAATAGTGATGCCGTTGTCCCTAACTACTCATTGTTGAGTTATTCATACACTCGCCTAAAATATATTCTATTACATGCTTAACTGTGCAAGGGATATAATCTTCTCAACATGTATTTCAAAGAACATTAGTCATGTAGGAAATTCATTGAGAAATCTATTTCTGTAATTTTGAAAATAAATCTGGAAATGCTGATGGCTCTAGTCTCCTCCAGAAAACTCACAATGCATAGAAGTTCTAAGTTCTACATTCAAACAAATACTAATTTTGTTTGTCCCAGCATTTCTTAAACTCACTTGCTTACAACCCCATGTCCCCTTCTTAGCCAAACCTATTCACAACCCTCTAAGTCTCTCTTAGAGGCTGGGAAGGCTGGCCTCCCAGATTTGGCCCAAAGGCCACAGTTTACCTGTAGTCATGACCTGTGCTGTCTGCTACAGTGGCCACAAGCCACCCGTGGCTGCTGAGCACTGGAAAATTGATGAGTCCAAACTGAGATGCGCTGTCTGAATGCACGCTGACTTGTAAAGACTTGTTACAAAAAAACAAGGATGTAACATATTTCACTGTGTGTCATGTGATTACATATCAAAATGTTTTAGATATATTCTTTTAAAATATATCATTAAAATTAATTTTACCAATTACTTTTTTACTTTTTTAAAATATGGGTGTAAGAAACTTCAAAATCATATAAGTGATTCATATATATTTCTGTTGGACGGTGCTAATCTCAATAACTTCTCTACTGGGCAGAAAGCCATAGTCTAAAATGAGCTCATTAAAAAAATGAAAAAGTCTTGATCTCTTCTGCATCCCCTCTTTCAACCCAGAACCTTCTTAGCAAAGTCTTCCCTAGTCTGGGGAGCCAATCAGATTTATACCTCTTTCTGTCACTCGGTTACTGTCAAGTCATGTTGCTTAATTTTTTTCACAGATATTTCTGGAATTTTCATATTTGTTTATTTCCTCATTCACTCTGTACCTCCCTGAAAAAGAATGTCAATTGCACAAGACCAAACTGCTTTTCTACCTGTTTTGCTGTGGTTCTGGGTCAAGTTGTCCACTTGGTATTGCTCTTTGCCTTGCTTCCCCTAGTCTAAAACTATGTCAGAGCAACCCTTTAGTAAATATTTTGATTGAATGAAAGAACTACAAACATGACAAATACAGAAATGAGATGCTATTTTGAGGAGAATGAGATAAAAATTAATTGGAGAGGTGAGAAAACCTTGCGCCCTAGTTTTATTTAGCGGACAAATCTAACCCAAGCCCCTGCCCTTATGGCTATGGTTTTTAATCATAATAACGACAACAACATTAGTAGCCTGTTGTATTTACTTTGTGCCAGACACAGTTCTGCTTTTCATATATTAACATATGCAATCCCTAAACAACCATATAAGAGAAACACCATTATTACCTCCCTTCCTGTTATAGATGAGGTAACGGAAGCATCGAAAATGAAGTGACTTATCCAAGATTATGCAGCTGGTAGGTGTCAGAGCCCGTGTAACCTGGTTCACTTAACCGTCTGACCAGACATTAACCTTCCTGTTTTCCCCTGATTTCATTCACTTTCATCCTGTTGTGAACATATTGGAAGAATATTACATAGCATGGATTAGAAACATAGATCTTTTTAAAAATCTACGTAAAAAGCAGATGGAAGTATTAATGCAATAATGAACTGTAAATCTTCAGAATAAATGGAGAAAGAAGAAGCTAACTCTTTTTCATACTGTCTTAACATCTAGCCTCATGACAGGGAGAAAATGAGGCAAATATTTTCTGTTCAGCCTGAGGTGTACTGGTGGTACATTTTAATCTCTTGCCTTGTATACTCATCAGAGCCATTTTTGTGTTAGCTGTAAATTCTCTGTGTAAATGTATGTGAAACTTGTGCTATCTACAGATACTCCCTATTAAAATGAAAAGTGTATTGGCTTTCAGTGACAAAACAGGCAGCCCAAAGTGGAAATAAAACCAGCAGCTGATGAGGCACATTTCAACAGGGTCGCTGAGCGACTTAAAGGCAGATTTGCGGGCAGGAACCTCAACCCGGCGTGCAGCGAAGCCTGCCTGGCTCCCCACCCCTTGCATCCCCCACTCAGCTCGGGTAACCTGATGTTCCTCCTCCCATAGAGCCCAGAATCTGATCTCGCATCTGATTCTCAGCAGAAAGAATGTACAAAAAGCCGCTCACTCAAAAAGCCTTCAATTCAGTGGAATATAAACTTTCCATGAGCTCTGCTGTCCATTCATCCAATGAATATTTATGGAGACTGTGATGTGCACAAGACGAGACCCATTGCATGGATTCTTATTCCCTGACCTATTTCCTGGGTGCCTATTCCTTTTCTTCTTCAATATCCCAGCTTGGATTTCTGGTTGCTTCTGCCTGGTGTGGGCAGACAGCCTTGGGTGACTTCTCCAGGGTTAGTTTACCTGATGTTAAGATCGTCTCTACTCCAGGATTACCTCCTTTCTCCTACTAATGTTTGCTCCTGGGCCTTCTTGTTTGGGCACATTCCATGGCTGCTTCTCCTTGCTCTGCTCCCAAATCACTACACATTGTCGCTTGTGCCCAGAGTTGACCTCCTAAACAAATACCTCTACGATTGTTTCAAATTCTTGATAAACTGCTCCATGGCTATCCCAAGTGTACCAGTTCCTAGAACACCAGTGAAATCAAACATAATGCCGTTTAGGGCCACTTGAAGAGAAAAGTGTGGCTTATGGTTACCTGTTGTATTTAATATTTCCTACTTAATGCTAAGTATTCTACTTTAGCCATGTGCCCCAAAGTGCACCCCAAGAAATAGCAATCCTAAGAGAGGCACCATGAGAAAAAAATGTGTCGTGTGGAAACCCTTGTCTTCTGCAAACTGGTTTCACACAAGACCCTCACTGATGTCCCATGGAACCCACCGAGGAGATGCTAAAGGAGAGGAAGACAAACCGGATATACTATCCACCTTCAAAGGAGCTTTTCCTTGGAGTGGAACATAAAGATGCACAGCACAAAACAAAGGTACAGTCCTGAGTTGCCTAAGGACGTTTAGGTAAACGATAGACCCGTATGTTTCAGTGGTCCCATAAGATGATTTCCTTTTTTAAAAAATTTAATCCTTATTGTATTTTTAAAAATAGGGAACGCCTCATGAATTTGCCTGTCATCCTTGCACACAGCCATGCTAGGCTTCTCTGGGTCCTTCCGATTTTAGTCTGCGTGTGCCAAAGTGAGCACTGAGATGATTTCTATCACCTAGCAACATCATAGCACAATTCGTTACCGATTTGTGCCAATCTCCGTCTATCATTTCTATCAGCCAGAAATGGCTGCTGGCACGCACCTGGGCCCAGGTGAGCTCCACACAGAATCCCCCCTTTCGAAACCAATGTCATGACTCAACCCACGTTTGTGGTTCTTATTCTCATTGCAAGATGCCCTTCAGCAGTAACCATTGGGAAACATGGAAGAAAAAGAAAGAGTTTATGACTCCCAGGCCCTGGAGTCTACAAGGTACAGCAGGGGCCACCCAGCCAGGGAGCATGCAGAGACAGCACTGGCCGGGGGTTATGCTTTTATTGGGGCCAAAGGTGGGGGTCTAGGGTCTCAAAAGCTCACTTTTTATTGGTGAATTTAAGACCTAAGAACAGGAATTTAAAGCACATGAAGGGGGAAAAAAAAAATAGCCCCAAGGATCTGTTTGAAATCAACCAAGATCTCTAAAACAAACGGCTTGGCTTTTTATCAAGTCCTGTGGCTGTCATGAGTTTGTTCAAAATAGCCTTCCTTGAAGTAGGTGCCTTGGCAATCAGAGCTCAAGTCGGGCACTTGCGTCCCAAAAAGAAAAGCCAGCAGTCCAGGTTTACACTGCAATTTCTATAGAAGTATAGTGATTGCAGTGCTGGGCTATACCATCTAGGTTTGTGTAAGTGCACTCTGTGATGTTTGCACATGGACGAAATCACCTAACAGTGCCGTTCTCAGAATGTATCCCAGTCATTAAATGACTGTAAACAAAGCATGAAGGTGAGCGGAGGGTAAAAAGTAAGATTGCTCTCTTTCATTGTCAGGAGATCGGCCATTCATTGGAATGAGGATGTTGGGTTTGTGTCCTGAACCCCTACCCCGTCTGGGACTTGTAAAGAAAGTCCGGTGGAGGGCAGTTTTAACGAAGTTTTATAGTTTATAAAGGGATCCTTAGTTCTCCTGTTTATGCTGCTCAGAGCTTCTCATAAACTCCCCTTACTCACTTCCAGTTTCCTTAATCTCCCCTAAGAAGAAGTTTGAGCTTCGTCCCCAGTTGGACTCCACACAAGTGTTTTGTATGGTTGTAATACCAGGTATGTACTTCGCAACCTATCTGCTCATTGACACTTTCACTATAAGTCTCACAGGCACATAAAAGACCATCTCATACTCATATTTAATAGGCTCAGCATATTTAGCTGGCTTGATCATGTTTAAATCGCAAAATCTTGGCAGGTGAGCAAGTAGGATCAAGGTGTGGGGACTCCCAGCCACAGAGCTTAGCAGCCATGGTCCTCCCGTGGCCAACCCAGTGAGGGTGTCTGCAAAGGTGCGAGGCTAATTCTACTTGAAATCTTCATTTGTCATTAGCACACCTTCATTCCTCTCACCCACACTCAGGAAACTTAGAAGGACTGACCAGGAGCAAAGGATTAATATGATAACATGCACTCTTTTTTTTTTTTTAAAGAGCCCTACCAAGTTGTCCATGTAGACATTAATTTGCTCTCGGGGCCTGACTATCTCTTTAGAATCATTGCTGGCCCCTGCCTGCACCAGCCCACGTACAACAACAGCACCAGAGTTCATCAGGAGGCAAATGAAACATGCTGATAGTCTATACCACCCACCACCCTTTTCCCCAAAATATTCTAAGTGAAAGGTTCTGTACCTATTAAGGCCGAAGGGTATCATTAATTTAATTGCTCACAATTTTATGCCTCAATCCCCTGTCATTGAAAAATGGCCAATAATGTTCAGCTAATTTTCTCATGACCTCCAGTGAGAATTCATTCTTATAACATGTCTATATAAAAATAAAAGTTTTGAAGAAAAAAATGAACATAGATTAGATTAGGAAAGAAAAGTAAAACAGAGAAATTAAAGAGTTCTTGGAAGAAAACACTCCTCATTTTCTCACCTCTGTCCCTTCTAGGACAATTCTCAGTTTTCCCTCAACCTCCCCTTAGAAGGATTTCCAGCTTTACCCCAAAGCCTGGCTCTAGCTCTGGGTATATTTATCACTGTAATTTTTAAGCTGTGATGTGCTATATAATATACCTGCCACACTGAGGGCAATAGATAAATATGTAATGGGAAAAATGGATGAATATTATTATTTCCCTTCTTCACTTTTGTATTGCCTTCTTTTGTTTACCCTGCAGTGAGGATAGGAACTATTCAAAAAGGGATACTTAAATGATTTGAAAACATTTTCTATTGAATGGCTCGGTTGTTCAGTCGGTGTGTTCCCAGTCTTTTGTTACTATTAATAATACAGTATTATTATACTAATAATAATAATAATAATAAAGTATCCGAGGGGCTCTGGTTCTAGGACCCCCATAGATACCAACATCTAAGGATGTTCAAGTCTCTGACATAAAATAACATAGTATTTTCATATAACCTATGCATATTCTTCATTGTACTTTAAATTACTTATAATTCCTCATACAATGGAAATACTGAATACATAGTGGCCATAATGTATTGTTTAGGGAGTAATAACAAGAAAAAAGTCTGTACATGTTCAGTGCAGATGTAACCATTTTGGCCTAACTATACAGTACATGTCAGGAACAATGTAATTTTTTAAAAAAATCTTTTCTATCCATGATTGGTTGAACCCACAGTCATGGAACCTATGGCCATGAAGGGCGTCTGTACTTCATGCTTCCCACAAACTATTGCAGGGGTAGAAATGAGAAGGAGTCTCAAACTGGACGCAAAGACAGAGGTGCTTGAGCTGCAGAAAGAATTCTAACAAAAATGAATACTACAGTGGCAAAGAAAAGTTCTCATATTTTTCATCAGAAATCATGATCTGTTCCTCTCCCTACTTCTATGTTCCAAGTTTCTAGACATTTCTAGTCTCAGACTACAGGAATGTAAATCCATTTTGCTAATGTTCTTCACACAGTTGAGTTCTCAAAGCTGTATCTCCCCTGACTGAGGAGGTAATAAAATCCCCAAGAAACTGTAAGGAACTATCATTCTGGAGACCGTGGGAGGAAGTGCCAGGGTCATCTTGCTCTTTCTTCATCAACAGCCCCGTAGGATGAGGAAGGCATGCCGGTGCTGAATCATTGGATCTTTTTTAAAATTGGCCAGGCGAAGCATTGTCATTATGACAGTTACAATTTCAACACTTTGTTGAGTTTCTAAAAAGTGCAAAGCACTACACTTGTCACTGGAGAATCAAAAAGCTAGACAAAACATATGATTTCTGCCATCAAAGGTTTACAATATATTTGTGAATTCTGTGCATGTTTGTGCGTACACACATATATTGTGTATATATATAGTATATATGTGCATTATATGTACATGTACATACATATATGATAGTAATTGGTAAAGTTAAGTTTGGAATTAGAAAATTAAATTGGGAAGATTAGTGAAATATTGCAATTGGCTATCATTAAAATAACAAATAATATTAACAGAAAATATAGAACAAAACAGTTTACAAATTAAAAATAAGAAATAAAAGAATTTACAGAAAAAAATTCTTTGTATTTTTATCTTAATTTTATATACACTTTTATTTTGTATCTAGACTTCAAATTTAAAAAGTAAGTTGAAGTACAAGACATCATATACTAAATGTAAAATGAGTGTTGTATATACAAGCAACTAGTATAAAAGTTCAAAGGAGACAGCAGCCTGGGAACTATTCTGGATTCTCTCCAAAATAAGCTAAATTACTTCTGTGTGTTTTACAAAGAGTAGAACTCTTAACCCCAAGGTACCAGAGTGTGAAACAGGGAAACTTTTGACTTAATGAAACATACATTATATAGAGCCTTTTGAAATAATTCAAATTAACACTTTCATACATCTACATAAACTAGAAGCTTTAAGCATATTTATCAAGTAGTCACCTTGTTAGTGTTTTATTGAATGATTAAAAGTCATTTGTAATTAGCTGATTATTAATAGGCAACCTACCATAAAACTTTTTAAAGAAGCTTTAAAGGATAGAGTATTTAATTTTCCCAAAGAAGTCTAACAGCATCATCCCTGGCTTTTTCCCTTCACCCCCTATAAAACCACATACAAAGTTTTGGCAGTGGCCAAGAATAGTGCAAAGATGCACTCAGCCCAAAGCTACACAGGGTCCATCCCAGACCCTGAAGAAATGAGACCAAAGCCCCGAGCCTGACAAGGAATAACTTCTGCCACCAGGTCTCCAGATTTCTCTCTCTGTCACAGACTGGGAATGTAAAGCAGGGTGGAAGGGTTCGCTTTGGAAGCTAGCTCTTCCTTTGGAAGTTTACCTCAGGGATCTCACAAGCATGGAGCTACTTGGAACTATGAGTGACTTCCCAATAAGAGGGCAGACGATGAAGATTGGTTTTATGTAGTGAAGGTGGACAAAACCTGAAACGTTGCTCAAGACTCTTGATCTCAAGTGACAGAAGCCCAATTAAAACTAGTTTAATCAAAAAAGAGAATTGGTTCACATTACTGGAAAGTCTAGGGCAGGACTGGCTTCAGGGTCTCCAGATCACAAAACATTGTGGCTCTCACTCTTTGATTAGCACTCAGTTTTTCTCTTATTTCTGGTCTCGCAGCTCTTTTTGCTTGAGTTACCCTCATTCTCTCAGACTGTAGCCGAAGGATGGAGTAAACAGAAACCTGAGCATCAGAAAGTGGAGTTCAAAGAAACACCTACGTATAAGAATTCAGTCAGTGGTTAGATAAAGACAAAGGACTCAGTTAATAATTGTCATAGAGCTCCACGAAATAACAATAGCAGCCTTTACTCAGCATCACCTATCAAGCAGTAAACTTCATTGAACCTTCAAAATTCTGGAATATAGCCTCAGAGATTTAAATGCCTTGCCTTGGATTCCCACAACTACTAGACCACAGGATGTCCAGATTCTAACCCAGGCCAGCATGAGACTTGTGCTAGACACTGGACACTGGACAACATGTTGGCTGCCAAGGACTTCAAACTGTTCTCTCAGGATTTCCCTTCA